CAGCGTTGCTCCTATTCCTAGACTTTTCTCTCCTGTTTTCCTTCTTTTTCCCTGCAAATGTATCACTTGAAGGAAATACCTTTTTAGTAAAACCCCTTCAGAGTGCTGTTTCTTTGGCAGGTCAAAATGCCTTGTGACAAAATGTCTCCCATGCTCTCAGTGCATGGGGATGTGGACTGAACACGGCAGGCTTGGGGGAGATAGAGCCAGCCCTGAAAAGAGCAGTTGTGGCAGGATTTCCCAGCAGTTCCAAGCCTGCATAGCCCAAGACACTGTTCCTGCAGGCTGTGCCACTTGGCCAGAGCTAATGCAGGGCTCAGCATAATGCAGTGGCTCTGGTGGGTGGGGGCCCATCAGAGTAGAGGTTGCAGCAAAGGAGCTGGGTGACACATGGCTGGTTCTGGGCACAGAAAGAGGAAGGTGGTGGGAGAGATGGGGACCCATCTGCATTCCCAGTAACTGTCAGTGTGCTCCCACTGATCCTGTCATAGAGGATCCCACATTCAGGCTGGCTGTGCTGTGCTGCTCCTTAGCCTGTGCCTTCAAAGTGGGTAGGATGGATCCTGAGGGAGTGGGAGGGCAGAGTGGCTGCCCCCAACATTGCTAGAAATGCCTGTGCTCTTCCAGCAACTCTCCAGACCCACCTTCTTCGCCCGCAAGTTTGAGTCGACGGTGAATCAGGAGGTGCTGGAGATCCTGGACACGCACCTCTATGGCAGCTACCCCGCCAACACCCCGGCCCTCAAGGCCTACTGGGAAAACGTCTATGACCGTGTCGATGGGCTCGGCGGTCTCACCGATGTCACCCTCACCTTCTATACAGCCTTCTCCAGGCTGGGGCTCCACAAAGCCTCATCCACGCCGGCAGCCAAGGCTGACAAGCTCTGCAGGTGGGGTATTTTCTGTGGTCTCAACCCAGGCTCCAAATGGAGGCCTTTATTTTGTGCTGGAAGTATGCTTATGCTCAGATATGCAATCTCTCTGTCTATCCAGATTTGAGCCTCGAGGATTCCCCTCTAGTGTGCACTTATATTTCTATGACGACCGTTTCCAGGGTTACCTGGTGATGCAGGAAGTGCAAAATTTGGCAACTGGGCAGACAGAATCCTTGGAGGTGTGGATGATGCCCCAAGGAGCTCTGAAGCTGTCAGGTCATGGAGGGCAGGCAAACCGCTTGCAGAACCTAGAGGTAAATGTGGCACTTTCCTTCCTGGCTTTCCCACACTGTGCTGCCATTCCTCCTCTGCCCCACCTGCATGCCATGGGGACAGAAGGGACACAGAACTGCCATTGTGTCTCAGAACAAACCTTTGTCTGGGAGTTTGGTTTATTTGTGAGGAGCTGATCATCGGTGAATAGGCCTTCAGGGGATCTTTCAGAGGCAGGTGAGATCCAGTGCCTGCAGCTGCAGGAGGCTTTGCACAGCTGAATTAGTGCTGGCATGTGATCCACGGAGTGTCCATTGCTTTGGATGCCAAGGTTTATGTGCTCTCTGTTTCAGGGAGGTGAAACACAGAACCTCAGCTGATAATGTCTCCTTGCCCAGTGTCTCACTGCTTGTGCTTCCTGTCCCTCCAGGTGGGCACAGAGTGGGACCCCAAGGAAAGACTCTTCCGCAATTTTGGAGGCTTGATGGGGCCTTTTGATGAGCCAGTGGCCATGCAGAAGTGGTCACGGGGCCCCAACCTGACGGCCACGGTGGTGTGGATTGACCCCACCTATGTCATTGCTGCCTCCTACGACATCACGGTGGATGCTGAGGCAGAGTTCACCCAGTACAAGCCCCCCCTCAACCACCCCCTGCGCCCTGGCATCTGGACCATCCGCCTCCTCCAGTTCTGGGAGCCTCTGGGGGAGAACCAGTTCCTGGTGGTGCCTCAGACCTTTAACCGCAAGCAGCCTCTCAGGAAAGGTGAGGCTGCTCTGGAGTTTGGGGCTGTATGAGAGGGTGTCCCTGTGGGCAGTCCAAAGTGCTTTTGCCCTGTGTTGGCCCCTGGGCTGCAGCTGATGACCAGGCTGGAGCCAGTTTCCACTGGTGCCCTTTGCCCATGTGAATCCTTAGACTGGGCTATCCCCTTGGCAGCCGTGGAGAGCCCATTGGCCCATGTCAGTCAGATCCTTCCTGCAGCAGTGTCCTTTTCCTTGTGCCAGATGGGAGCTGGGGTTGCAAAGGAATGGGGTGCTGTGCCCCAACTGGAGTTGGGGGTAGGACCTGCAGGGTGCCAGAATGTTGCTACACTCCTCATCCTCACTCTTTTCTCTCCCTGTCTTTCCCAGATGACAGCAACTGGCTGCATGGTGGCCCCCCCCGCAACGAGTACATGGACCAGAACTTCCAGGGCCTGGGCGGGATCCTCAGCCTGCCGCGCTCCGAGGCAGCGGAGGAGGATGCGGCGCAGAAGGCACGGCTGACGGGCAAGGAGCTGGAGGACTGGGCAGATGCTGCCATCGGCACCTTCTGGTCCGCAGCGAATGTCTGTGCCAGCAGCCCCTCTGCCTGCGCTTCCCTGGAGACCTGCAGCAAAACCTCCTGGAGCTCCCTCTCCCCAGACCCCAAATCAGAACTGGGGCCCGTCAAACCTGACGGGCGGCTGAGGTAGCAGGAGCAGCCTGAGGGCAGCCTTGGGAGCAGGGAGCATCCTCTGTTTCTGATTTGGGGGGTGTCTCCGGACCACATCACCCTGTGCCATTTGCACCGTAGTCACTTGAGGAAGAGAAAATGGGAACCTCCAGGCAGGGGAGAACCTTCTCCTGTGGGGTATTTTGGGCAGAGGGAGAGGTGTGAGGTGGGTCTTGCCCATCTCTGCAGGAATGAGTCCTTGCTGGCCAGGGAGAGCATGCTGGAGTGCCCATCCCTGGGGGCGCATGGCAGGCACCTGGGAAAAGCTGTGTGTTTGTTACTCCAGGCCTTGGAGCTTCAGGAAAGGGTGATGTGGGAGGGGAGGGATGGCTGGTGCGTGAGGAAGGCTCTGGACCAGCTCAGCATCCTGCCCAGCCCCGGACTAGAACTTGGCAGGATGGGCCCTTGTTGCTGGCTATTGCCCTAGTGGGCTGATGAGGGACTGGGGATAGGCAGAAGCAGAATGGGTCAAAACCTGCCATGTGCACAGAGCTGCTGCTGTCTTAGGGTTTACATCTCATCCTGTCCGCCCCAGCCCTTTAGTTTGTATTTTTATAAATATATATATAGAAATATATATGATGCAAAGTGCAATAGAGACGAGACCCCGCATTGGCCGGGAAGTCCCTGTGTCTCCATTTCCCCTCAGACTGTAACATACCTTGTTCCCTTGGGTGTCCTGGTACTACAGGACAGGGTGCTGGGTCGTTTACATCCTTTTTTATTATTATTACTGTTATTGTTTTGCTGTTTGCCCATTTCCTGCTGAGGGCTGCTGGGGACCTGTAACCTGTTGGCCTTGGGGCAGGGTTGCCCCCAGGTTGTGGGGCAGCTGCCCAACTATGCCAAATGTCTGGAGCCCTGGCGTGTTGTGCAGCAGTGAGCAGGGAGTGCTCAGTGTGTGGTTCAGGTCCAACAAGCTGCGCTGTAGATCCTGCCACTTCTGTCTCCACTTCAGCAAAAGGACGCCCTGATCCCCTGCCAAAATATCATCCACAGGCCGATGTCCTGCTGTGGATGAGCCGTGCCTGGAGTGCTGCCCTGTGCCACAGCTCCTTGACCCGACTTTTTCTTTCCTCCCACGTCAGCAGAAGCTTTCAAGACCTGCTGTGCTTCCCTGGGCAAAAAGCAAAGCAGCGAGGCGAGGTCTGGCCAGCCCCATCTTCCCTCCGCTGTTTCTGCTTCCCACTGCTCCAGAGGGAAGAGGCGCCACCTCCTCTTGGGAAGGGGTGCAGTGAAGCATCCCCCTTCCCCCCCTTCCCTGCAGTGCCCCCAGGATGTCCCTGGGCTCTGCCTCCAACATTCTTCTCTCCAAGACTGATGCTGCCTGGAGAAGTCTAGGTTTGGTTTCATCCTGGGAAGACACCTCACAGCTGGGGACAATCTGGAGTCCATCTGGCCCAGCCCTCTGCTCAAAGCAGGGTCTCAGGAGCTGGTGGGGTTTTGCTGTCCATGGATCTGTGCCATCCTAACTTTTCTCCCATCTCCCAGCTCTCTCCGCCCAGCGGGTCTGACACTCCCAATCTCCAAATTTAAGGATGTGGGTGTTGCAAGATGTGTACTGTAAAACGGAGGGGGCTGAGACCCCTGTGTGTGAGGGCAGGTACCTGCTGGCACTCAGCCCCCCTGTCCTGCACTCACTGCTGCCTGGGGTGCTTTGGGGCAGCGGAGCAATGTGGGGAGAGAAGGGCCGCACACGGGAGGACGCCAAAATTCTGTGTCAGAACCATTATGTAAAATTGTCTTAAATATGCAACATCACCACAAATACATCTCTGTCTCTACAGTTTGGTGTGTCGGATTTTTGTGGTGTTACGGAATTGGTGGAGGGTGGGGGAAGTTCGGCCGTACCCGGTGAGAGTGCAAATCCTTCCTGGGCACCGGGACAGGGGCTGTGAGGGTGTTGGGGCAGGGTCGCCTTCCTCAGATGGGTGATGTGTAACCCAAAAGCAAGCTTGGTGTTTTCAAAGCCTGTGGCTGGAGATGAGAGCTCGGGAGTGACCCGGTTACACCCTGCCAGCGGGTGCCCTGAAGGTACCCAGATACTTAGCGTTGACATGGCACTTAATTAAGGTGTTAATCGGCTAACAGCGGGCACCTCCTGCTGCCTGCGGGGCCAAGCCCCGTGCGGCACAGGCCAGCTTTCCCTCTGCAGGAGCGGGGCAGCGCTGGGCTTGTCTCCTGCCCGCTGACCCCGGCAGTGACCCGCGGCCTGGCACGGCGGGACTCTGCTAACCGCGGCACGAGGCCGCGGCACCCGCGGCTGAGCCCGAAGGGGGAGCCCCGGGAGCCCCGCGGCTGAGCCCGAACGGGGAGCCCCGCGGCTGAGCCCGCTCGCTCTGCCCCGCCCCGCCCCGCCCCTCGCGGGCCGTGGGGCGCGGGCGGCGGGCAGGGGCTGCCGGCTGCGGGGTCGGGATGGCGCAGCCCGCAGAGGCCTCGGGCCACACGGCGACCGCCAGCGCCAGCATGGACAACAACGTCCTGGCCATCGTCATCGCCGCCAGTGAGTGGCGGGCGGGGGCTCCGGCGGTGCCGGGAGCGAAGCGGGGGCGGCCGCCGGGCGGGATCGGCCTCTGCCGGTGCCTCCCGGGCTGTGCCGATAAGGCGATACCTGGGGACGGGCGGGGGAGAGGTCGCTGCAGCAGCCGGCCCGAATTCGGGGGTCCCCGCTGTCTCACGGGATTGGGGCCGGAGCGGAGCGGCGGCGGGGGCTGGCGGTGCGGGTGGGCTCCGCAGATCCGCGGGTGGGCCGGGGGAGAGCCGCGGGCTCTCCCGGGAGACCGGAACGCTGGCGAACCGGCTCCCTGCCGTGGTGCTGAGGGAGCCGAGGCGCCGGGCGAGTGACGGTGAGTGCCGGTGCTGGTCCCCACGGGGTGGTCCGGGATGGGGTGAGCCCCTCCTGCCTCTGCAGGTTGTTCACCGTCTGGTAGGGAGAGAGATGCTGGGCACAAAGGGGCTTTAGCGCTGTTGAGACGGGCAGCAGGTGGAATCGGCTTCTCAGGGCTTCTCCAAGAGGCAGCCGTGGGGCGAGAGCGGGCGGCAGGAGGAGGCCCGCGAGCCCGTCGAACCACCGGCTCTCTCGCCTCGCCCGTCTCTTGGCAGCGGTGTCCACCTCCGTCTTCATCGTGGCGATCCTCATTCTGCTGCTGCTCTTGTACCACCGGGACCCCATGTGCTGCCAATTCCTCTGCTCCTGCCGCCTGTTCCAGACCCCCAGCCAGTATGTGAGTGTCCTCAGAGTCCTTCCTCTCTTTCCCCTGCTCACGAGTCCCCCGAGCTCCTGTTCCCTTGTGCTGGGTCTGTGGGGCTGCACTGCTGGGTTACTGTCCTGCAGCCTGGCTGGGATTGTTGATGGACATGGGTCCTGGGCTCTGCCACCTCCTTGCTCCCACTCTGTCCAAGAGATCCATCCATCCACCCACCCGGTCCTGCCTGGCTGTGCCATTGTGGCTGTATCTCCAAGACCCAACACTAAAAGACTTCCCTGCTCTCCACACAGCTCGGGAGGGAGGTTCTCCTCCCCCTACACAGTCATGTGTGGGGTCGGGCTGCGCTTTATAGGAAGAGGCCCAGCAGGGAAGGGAGCTGGAAGCTCAGGGCAAAGGCAGACAAAGCCACCCGCATCCCTGACAACTGGCTCTCTTGTGCACAGCTCCTGGGGAAGGAGCAGTGAGACACAAAGCCCTTTCGCTTGCATCTGTAATTTCCTAGGGCTGGCTTTCAGCTGGGGAAGCTGATGAAAAAAGAGCAGCGTGTGTAGCCAGTGTTGCTTTTGTGGCAGTAACTGCCTGGGGAAAGCTCAGCCTACAGAGCTGCAAGGATGGCTTTTGAGGGGAGGGCTGCAGGTACCACTTTGCAGTCCCTGGGAGAAGAGTGGACATTCAGCCTCACTAGCAAGAGGTGGACAGGCTAGTGCTATGAAATGCAACTCTAACAGTCCAGCACTGGCTGAGAAGTCCCCACCAGAAATCACAGTGGAAATAGGCTGCACTGATGGTGTCCGTGTCTGATTGTCTCCACTTCTTTCCCTCTCTTCCCTCCTGTTGCCTGCCCATGCCACACATTGGGAGCAGGCCCTGCTGCTGTGCTCCCTTGCCCCGTGGAGCTGCTCTCTGGGGCAGTAAGGGATGCTCCCTGAGCTCTGAGGTGGAAACTTCAAGCAGGCATCTTGCCTTTAGCAAAGGACTGTGCAGAAGAATAGATGCAAAGAATTATGTAAGGAAAGGGAACATAGAACGTATTTCCTTCAGAAAAAGAGAAGCAGTTGTAGTGTGTGAGGCAGGAATAGTTGCACTGGTTTTGCTCATGAATTATTGAACCAACAGTTGGGTGCTGTTTTCCTGCAGCTTCTGTAGTTGTGCTGTAGGGCCAAGACAAACAGTTCCTTGCTTGTTAAGAGCAACAGTAAATCCGCATAGTCCTCCCTGCGCATCCCTGGTTGCTCTGGCAGTCTCTGGGCTGGTTTCTGCTGGCAGAGATGGGGTTTTCCTTGAGCAAGGTACAGCCATGGCTCAAGTCCTGGCTCTGGCTCGAGGAGCTGTTCTCTGTGAACAGGATTTCTGCTGTCTGTTACTCAACAGCTTGACAGGAAATCCAGTTTAACTGGAGCGAGACAACTTGGGAACAGTACAACTATTGCCCTGTGGATTTGCTTGCTGCATGATCCTGAAAGGACAAGCTCAGTAGATAGGAGCTAACAAATTCTGTAACTCTGAGCATGTGATAGAGCTCTTATCTACACCAGCAGAATAGCTGGGTTGTTTTTTGTTGTACCTCAAAAAGAGATGGTTCTGCTGATTTTCAATGAAACCCTGCCCTGGGGCCCAGACTGTCCCTCTGGCTGTGCTCTGCTCCAGCTGGCTCCAGCCCTCGGAGCAGACCCTGCGCTGCCTGGGAAGATGTCCTGGAGCTGTTGGTGTCACTGAACAGGAAGGGGCTGCTGCCAGCACGGAGGGCTGCAGGAGCCACATGGGCAGAGGGAGCAACTCTTCCTCTGCCAGGGTCCTGCTGTCCCGTGAGAGCTGGTTGAGCTCTGCTCTCTGCTGAGAGGGATTTTGGCTTTGCTCATGTCCTCCTCATTCCAGGACCGCCCCCCGCCCTACTTCAGCAGCAGCCAGCAGCTGGTGGGACCCCAGCGTGGAGCCTCACGGCTGGAGAGCAGTGCTGAGAACCCCGGCATGCAGGTGATGGCAGGCTCCCTGCTGGGAGCTGCGCGGGAATGACAGCAAAGGTGCTCGTGGGCTTGGAGAGACACTCTAGTTATGGAGTTTGCCTGGGGCAAAAGGTGCTGGGCAGAATCTTCTGGTGCTATCCCACAGCTTTGGCAAGTGCTGCCAGTATGTAAAAACCCCGGGGGTAGGCGGCATGTGGAGGGAAGGAATATTGCAGAGGATACCACAGTGCCCTGAAGTGTTTGTGCAGGAAGTGCCAATGGTAGATCCTGGGGGCTTTGGGATCCTGCAGCGCAGGTCGTGTGGTAATTGCCCCCTGGGAGGGTGGATATCCTCTCTGGGTGTTCAAAGGAGCCCACAACTACCTACAGCTTTGAACCCTGAATTAACTCAAGGTCGCAGCAGGACATAAACTTTTAGTGATGACAGCCACCATCACACTGACCCTTTTTGGGGATGGACGTTTCTAGGGAGACGAGCTCTTCTGTGTCGGACCCCCCAGCACGTACCAGCTCCCGTCCTGGGAGCAGCCCCGCCTGCCTAGCTACGAGAGCGTGCGGAAGAAGGATCGCCAGCGGGAGATCCATCAGATGATTGCTGACAGGTTTGGGCTGTGGGCAGAGCCATCCCAGGAGGTGAGTTCCCCTCCCTGCAGTGGGGGGCTGGCAGTAGCCCACGGCAGTCACCACTGTGGTTCATATCTGTGTCTTGCTTCACAGTTGGTGGTAGCTGAGGACTCTGTGCTCTGTGATTGCTTTCCTGATAGCTTTAATCTCTGGGAAAGCACAAAGTGTATCGGGAGGCTCCTTTGGTGTACATCTGTGCTGGTTAATGAACCATCTCCCCTCCCCCAGTGCATTTGCAGAAATGCCTGTACCAGGAGGCAGGGCAGAGCCCCACAGAGAGACGGCAGGCTCTTCAGATCACCTGCTCCATACAAGTCCAGGCTGGGAGTGTTATTTTTGGATCTCTAAGGCTTTCATGGGCTCTTGCTTCTTTCTCCCTGCAGGACACTCCTGGGGAGATGCCTTGGTATTACCTTGAAGTGTTTATGGCTTATTTATGAGCAGGAGGCTTTGCTTGTTATGATATTTTAAGATTTGCACTCCCACAATGAACAGGGAAACGTGAATGCATCCTGCCAAGTAGGTCCTTTGGCAGCATCCTGAGATGCTCCCATTCAGAGACCTCTGTCTAAAGCAGGACAAAAACTTTTGAAACCCTGAGTAAAGCATTAAAAGTTCACTGATTTACCTGGATTTTGAGCTCTTAAAGCTGTACCATAAAGCCTGGCATATTTAGCCCTTGCCACTCCGTGTTTGGAGCTGTATCTAATGACACCTGCCTGAAAAGTTTCAGCTTGATTTGGTGGAAGGTGTCCTTGCCCATGCAGGGGCTGGAACTGGATGATGTCTAATGTCCCTTGCAACCCAAGCCATTCTGTAACTCTATGAAACCTGGGCACTGAGGGCACAGGAGAGTAAAGCTCCAAAGACAAGTAGTTGAGGAACAGCACTGGAAGCTCTTCCTTGTCATGCCACTTCCTGTCACCTGTGGGGAGAAAGCTAGCCCAGCTCTGCCAAAAGAAATGTGACAAGGCCTGGAGGCTCCTCTCTCTGTGCAGTGAGACTTGCTGCCAAAACCTGGGTACAACACCTGGTTTGTAGGTACTTGTGTAAATCCCAGTAATTTTTCTTTAGTCAAGGGAAAACAAATGACAGCCCTCTCCCAACAGAAGTCAAGTTTGTTCTGGCCTTCTGCCAAGTCCTTGAAGGGGAACAGGGAAGAGCAGGAACCTGGCACAGAATGTGAGGGGAGAATGTGTCTCTCAGCAGGTTTGTGCCATGTTCCAGACTGATGCTGTCATCTCCAGGTGTTCCCCAGCCTACAGCTGGCTGTGCTGGGGGACTGTGGGGGTTTAATTTCAGGCTGGTGGCAGCTGTGAGCCTTTTCATCTGCACTGTAAGAAGAGGTGGGATAATCTCCTAGTTATTTCTGATCCTCCGTAATGCTCTTCCTCTCTCCTCAATAGATGCCACCTCCTTATGAGCATGCTCTGAGGCATCCTCCAGCTTTCTCAGGAACAGGAATAAGCTCAGGGACCTTGGACAGACATGGTGTTCCAGACCCTTTCCATGCCCCCTTCAGCTACCAAACTCAGCGGAACACTGCGGTGTAAGGCCTCGCCCTCAGTGTACTGCTGTCAGCAACAGAAGTGCCTGGGATACCATTTTCCTCCACAGTGAATGGCCAAACCTTCACCCAGATCCACAATCAGCTGAAACACAGGCAAGACCAACCCAGTCATCAGTGACATCCCTCTTGCAGCACAAGAACAACCACAGAGCCATTGCTGGGTGCTGCACTGAGCAGAGGAACCAGGGACATCTGCTCACTCTTCTCTGGCAAACACCAAAGGCAAAGGTCCAGCTGCTGGAGCTGCACAGGGCAAAGCCAAGGAATGTCTGCTAGGCCAGAGCTCCTCAGGAGCAGCATTTCATACCTCTGTGAGGCAGCACTGCTGGCTGCACAACGGCTCAGACCCCAGGCACTGGTGGTATTGTGCTGCTTCACCTGTTTCTTAGGTTATCAGGTGTTTTACTGTATCTGGATTACCTGCCAGGTGCAAATCCTCACCTGAGTGGCAGAAAGGATGGGCTTTGGAGCACTGCTGCATGCTCTGGCACCAGTGGCCTCTGTGACTGACAGTGGTTCTGTACAGAGCCCACCATGGATGTGGAGAGGCTCCATGGGTTATACCCAAATACAGACCACCAAGATGGATCTGCAGGCTGGGAAAGGACAGATGCACGGACTGAACTGGAGGTCTACATGAAGACTGTGAAGCACAGGTGGACACATGTGCCTGACCCAGTTCACCTGGTCTTCTGCAGAGCAGAAGAATTGTCTGAATAATGTCAACACCGGTGTCCTTACACTACTGATTTTGATAACCTGTTTTCTACTGCAGAGTCAATGTTTTAAATTGTTTACAAACCTGTAGATAAAATGAGATCAGTTTGGACACAACACACTGGGGCTCCGTTATTTTGAGCAATACAAGCTCAAAAATGTCACGTAATGACTCAAAGATAAAAGGATGAGTATCCTGGATAATGCTTTATCATACACCTCCAGCTGCTGAGGCTTCAAATACTAGCCCAGATTAGGGCATCTTGCCAGGCCCCCTGAACTCAGTAATGAGTTACAATTAGGCCTGTGAACTCACCTTACATGGCCAGTGAATGGCACACTCAGATATTTAAGTTAATCATTGAGGTGAGCTAGAGACAAAATCCAGCTTCTGGGTACACAGCATAGGTGCACGTGGAAAAGGATCTGTTCTGCAGTATTTTGAATTAAGGTACAAACAGAACAGTAATGACTAAAAATGAGCAAAAATAGAGGGAATTATTAGCAGGACAAGTACTGACACAAGAGTGATTGTAGAGGGAATTCATCCAATGGCACAGCAGACCAGGCTTTCCAGATACTACATGACCATGGTAACACATTCCATGAGCAGCCAAGATCTTCAGCTGCCCCACAGCATTTATTAAACACTCTTAAAAATGCCAGCCGGTGATCTCAGTGCCTGAACACAGATCACAAGCACTTCAGGAACAAAACCAAGTCCTGAAACGGTATCTTCAGAGCCACTCTTGTCCTCAGATGCCAGCACAGCTGTAGTGGTCTGTCCTTTCCATCTGTGCCCGTGTGACACAGCAGGTTCACAGCATGGTGACGAGTTTGAAGCTTCCTACCTCTGTGGTAGGGACAACACTGATAAAAGTTTTATAAAGGACTGCTCCTTTGGGCAGCTGGCAGATCACATCCCTGCTCTCGCTGCTGCGGGGTGGGGGCACGTAGACCTCTTTGGTGTATCTCACAATCCCATCCTCCAGGGCATAGAGTGTCTTGTTACGGCCCATCCCCACCTGGGAGAGGATGAGGAGCATTAGAAAGGAGAGGTTGGACATCCACAACTAAAGCAGATCTGCTCATTGGTCTGCCTTGTTTGATACCCTGGCTTCAACAGCATCTGTTGCTTTATTCTTTGAAACAAAACCACACAACTTGCTTCCAACAACCAGTTTGCAATGGTGCTCAGTATGAGACATGAGACACCCGTTCCACCCTGAAGCACAAATGCCCAGTCAGGTCACAGCAGTGTTCTGGGATATCAATTACTTGCAGACCTTCCCTGAGTCCCACGAACACGGGAACCTGGCATCACCTGACAGGTGAGGCTCTGAGCAGACTGTGACTAATACCACAGCAGACAGGGATGAGCATTCAGAATGAGACTGAAAGAGAGGAGGCAGTGAATGTGGCACTCTGGGGGGGACTGCTGTTCTCTGAGAACCAAAGAGAGAAGAAAGGCCTTACGTGAGCGCCGGGATGCCAGCGGATCAACCGCTGCGTAGCCAAAATGTTTCCTGCATGGACAAAGGCACCTGCAACAGAGTGACACAGTCAGACTGCAGGGAAAGAGCTTCCAGAGCCCTGGCAGAACACAAATGATTCCAGGATTACAAATCCCAGCTTTCTGCAGGCATTTTCTAAGGAAAAGTTACATCAAATGTTAAAAGCATCTGAACGAAAATGCTGTTAGCAGGAAATAAAAGGGCAATGGATAGACCATGGCAAAAAGTCAGATCTCTGAAAAGATTGCTTCTAGGGTACAAGGCTTTTTTTCTGGCTGCTGAAGGCATTTGTTTTATTACATTTACATTGATATGTTTCCATCAGCAAAGCTAGTAATTATTAAGCACTCAACCACAAGAATCTGCACTTTGGCTTCTGCTAAGCTTTGTACTTCTCTCCTTTGTAAACACTGGAAATGCTCAGTTTTTCCAAAGTGCAATGCAGTTATGAGGTGTCTCACAGGGCTCCCTCCTCCCGGGCTCTCTGGAGAGGCAAAGTTAGAACCAAAGTACATTTCCTCTAGGCAATTTTGGCTGGCAGCCGGCTCACTCGTGGTGGGGGGATCTGACTCAGCCTGCCCTCCCACCAACAACCCTTGATCGTGAGGTTTCACTGATCCTCCCCTTTCTCCTGGAAAAGTGCCCTGCCCACCTCCTCCTGAAACGCTCAACAACTGACACGCAGCAGGGGAGAGAAGCTGTGAAGAACCCAGTGAAATGCAAATAAGACACTCAGGCCTACCTTCGACTTTTTTGAAGCCATAGCGTTTCCCCGGGCTTCGGCCACCCAGGTTTTTTGAGCTGCCCCCACTTTTCTTAGAAGCCCATCTGACAGCAAGCAGGCTGGTATGGTGAGTGGTTAGAACTAGGTAAGGAGAAAGAACAACATCAGCTGGAAAAAATATCACATGTAATTCCTTCTGTCACATGTAAGGATATCAGTTAAGACAGGTTTTAAAATTAAAGGCAAAAGAAAGCCCTGGGAGAAACAAAAAGTACTTCCAAGATAAATTAGACCAAAATGGCCTAAGTTCCTTGGAAAAAGGTCACATCTCAAGTGCTGCTGCTGCTGCTCAGGTAAGAATAAAACTCTGAGCAACCATGTTAAATGATGTGCACAAATTTCTGTTTCATTCTTGTAAAATGCAGCACAGATGTCATTGGTTGCTGTGGATTGCTCTTACAGTGCTTTGAGAAAAGATGGGTTGTGATTTGTTTCAGTTTCCTCTTTGACCAAATGGCATTCACTTACACAGTTACATCCTGAAATCTTACAAATGAGCAGAGTCCAATTCTGGAAAATACATAAACATTTATGACCAGCCAGAAACAGTCTGAGGAGTATCCAGGAGTATAAAGGTTGGACTTGCTGGGATTGGAAGTCTTTTCTAACCTTAATGATTCTGTAATTCTATGATTAAAGGCTCTAAGAAGGAATACAGAGCCCTGGGAATGGCAGAAAGGGAGTCTGGAGCAGAGTTTTTTCCATTAATCCTCTCAGTTTAAGGGAAGTGTTTAAGGCCAGGTTGAACAGGGCTTGCAGAAACCTGGTCTAGTGAAAGGTGTCCCTTCCCATGGCAGGGGGTAGGAACTGGGGGATCTTTAAGTTCTCTCCCAACCCAAATCATCATTATCTTAAAAATCTCTTCTGTACCATCTCTTATGCAGGTAGGAGACAAACTTAATTTTTCTGAATCCCTCTTGCCAATTAAGCAGCAGGTTAGTACAGAACAGTGGTTATCTTGTTTCCTCAACCTGAGCAAAACCGCTGTTTAACTTAATTAAATCATCACGGATACTCAGCGAGCTGGAAATGTCCCACGACTGGAAGTGTTCAAGCACAGGCTGGATGGGGCTTACTGCAACCTGCTCTAATGGAAGGCATCTCTGCCCAGGGCAGGTTCCTTCCAACCCAAACCTGTCCATAATTCTAAGAAATACTGTTGAGGAAAGGGTACAAAACCCCATTAATTTCGGGCCATTACCCATTAAGTAAAAGCCTCCGAGACTTGACGATTCCCAGGAAATTAGACAAAGACGAAGCATAGTTACAGCTTCACGTACACAAACCCACCCATCGCCATCACCTCAGCGGAGGAAAAAGCGAAAGCCTCGGCCTCGCGCCCTCGGCGGTGACATCCCACCGGGAGCGGGGTGACCTCCCTGGGGCACCTTCTCCCGAGCTCATCCCTCCCGCTGCAAGGCCAGACCGCCGCTCCCCGCCCCTCAGAGGGTAACGAGCTGCCACGGGCCCTCACTCACACAGCCGTCCCAGCGCCGCCATCTTGATGGCGCCGCTTCCCCGCCTCCACCCGCTGAGAAGGCGACGCGCACGCGCGCCCGCTGGGTGGCGATTGGTCCCGGCGCACGCCCTCGCTAACGTTCGGGCCAATCGCCGCCCACTGCGCGCGCCTCCGGGCCAATCAGCGGCCGGCGCGGGCTTTCCCCTCAGGCGAGAGCGGGTGGCCCTGAGGAGACGGGGGAGATGGCGGAGAGTGAATCAGGATCTGAGAGCAGTGAGGAGGAGAGCCTGCCCTCCTTCGCCTACCTGCTGCAGCCGTCCCCATGCCTCGGCGAGCCCAGCCGCCCGCGGTTGCCATCTCCTGATCCTGAACCGGCAGAGGTTGTCAAGATGGTGAGCAGTGGGAGTGAAGAGGGGGATGAGGAGGTGATGGACGTTGTCCCTTTGAACGAGAGGATCGAGATGAGTGTGGGAGCGGAGCCTGAGCCTTTCAACCTGGGCGCTGGTGATAAAGGAGAGGCATCTGGGCTTTGTGCTAGTGGCGACCTGATGGCTCCTGGGGGCGAAGGGCTTTGGGAAGACCTGATGCCGTCTGGGGAAGCAGCTTGTGATACTGAGAGTGGCACACGCGGTGTTGAGACATCCTCCTGGTGCTCCTTGCCAGTCAACTCTGACAGGCCTAGTAGCCCCCCCGTAAGCAGAGAAAGGCCGGAAACTTCGCTCCCTCTCAAGAAGCGACAATATAGTCAGAAGGAACAGGAGGCAATCTTCCAGAATGCGTGGCAGAGAAAGAAGGAGCAAGAAGCAAAGAGGAGGGAGCAGGAGGAGGAGAAAGGGAGGAAGAGAGCCGTTGCCAAGATGCTGAAAGCTCAGCGGCCAGGAGAGTGCCAGAAATACATAACAGTGGTGCTAGATCCAGGTAGTTGTCCTCACAGCCTGCAGCTGCCTTGTACTGACTGTTGTCTCCTCTCTCTGGAGGCCTGACCCATGCATTGATTTCAGTCATCTTACAGGTAGAAGGTGGCGAGCAGATCCTTAGTGCTTTGCAGGCTGCCAATTATTCCTGTGTGTTTGAGAACCACACTGTTCCCTGCAGCATCACCTGGAGGAGAAAGACGGTGACATCACAGGTATGCGAGCAAAATTTTGATGATCTTGTCCTTTTTCTCATGTGTTATTTGCAGTTGTTAATAATTGTATTTAGCAACCCAAGTGAACACCCTCTAATTTCCCTGCTCAGAGGTCTGAGTGGGTGTCTGAGTGAATTCGAAACAGTCTGTGGCCTGTTTGTTTTCACATCTGAACAGATGGGAGGAGGAGATGAATGGACAGAAGAACCAAATGTTCTAGTTCTGCTTGGCTTGGAGGAGTTCTTGTCCATGGCTCACAACTACAAGCAAGTGAGAATGCTTATGACTTTTATGCTCCTGAACATGTCTTGATGTAAAAGCTCTGTTTTGTCATCTCTCTTAGTGGCAGGAAGGTTTTGGTGTGGGAGGAATGCAGGGTTTCACTGAAACAGAAATCTGGGTGTAGAAGCCATTAATGGGCTGTATAATGCACAGTTCTGACAAGCTTTCTTTGCTAGTTAAAATTTTTCACACATTCCTCTGAAGGCTTACATTGTTACATCAAGTGGGTTTTTTGGTTTTTTTGTTCTTTCTTCTCTAACTTTACATGGGATCAAGTATTGCCTGCTTACCCTGAAGAGCAAGACTCATCTGCAGACCTACGAGCAGGGCAATAATTTGCTGTGCTTTTCTGTATACCTCAAAATGGTTTAACTCCTTATTTTTCCCATTCATCTTTGTAGAATGCTGATGGCTGTGCAGAAAAGCAGAAGGAGACCCTGCAGAGCTATGTAGTTCATATGATGGAGAAAATGCCTGGGAGAATTCTGGCTCTGGCAGTGGTTGGAGTAGAAAATTATTTCAGGTCAGACTTCTTCCCTCCAAATGTTTCTGTGTTTTCTCTGGCTTTGAAAATGCCATAGGTGTTTATGTTAATTCATTCTAGCAATGCAGGGTTTCACTGAAACAGAAATCTGGGTGTAGAAGCCATTAATGGGCTGTATAATGCACAGTTCTGACAAGCTTTCTTTGCTAGTTAAAATTTTTCACACATTCCTCTGAAGGCTTACATTGTTACATCAAGTGGGTTTATTTTTTTTCATTCTTTCTTCTCTAACTTTACATGGGATCAAGTATTGCCTGCTTACCCTGAAGAGCAAGACTCATCTGCAGACCTACGAGCAGGGCAATAATTTGCTGTGCTTTTCTGTATACCTCAAAATGGTTTAACTCCTTATTTTTCCCATTCATCTTTGTAGAATGCTGATGGCTGTGCAGAAAAGCAGAAGGAGACCCTGCAGAGCTATGTAGTTCATATGATGGAGAAAATGCCTGGGAGAATTCTGGCTCTGGCAGTGGTTGGAGTAGAAAATTATTTCAGGTCAGACTTCTTCCCTCCAGATGTTTCTGTGTTTTCTCTGGCCTTGAAAATGCCATAGGTGTTTATGTTAATTCATTCTAGCAAAGACTGGAGTGTAAGAGGTATTCCCAGAACTGCTCTACCACTTTTTATACACCAGCAGAGGCAAAGGTCCATCCAGACTGTCACCCCAGTCTTACTTTACTCTTTTTAGGTCTCTCCAAGTTCAGCCAAAACAAAGGCTGCGACAGACAGCAGCGAGTGGGAATCAAGAGAAATGGGGAAAAAGGAGAAAAAAGGAGGTTAAGGATTCTGGCTTGGACTTATCCAGAATGGATGTGAAAGAAGTGAGTTCTTTTAAAACACATGCAACCATCATCTGGGACCTCCCAGTGTCTGAACATTTGACCCAGTCACACCATTTTTTGAATGGGAGCACGTGGCTTTCGTTATTCTTTAGTCCGTCAGTCTGTGGACAGAGCTCTGTGGGCTCAGCTCCCCCTGCTCAGTCCTGTACCTGTTCCCACACAGACTGATGTGTCTCATTCACCTGGATACTGATGTCAGTCTCAGCATCTCTTGTCCTTCATGGCCTATTGGCAAAGCCTGCTGGTCTTGGCCTGTTCGTAACAAGAGCCACTGAGGAGCTGAAGCAGCTCAGAGGACACTGAGGTGATATTAACTGTCAGGAGACAGACTGCCCCTAAATACTTCAATCTCTTAAGTTAACTGCTCCCAAAATGGAGAGAGAGTGAAGGTTCTTGTCCTACAGCAGGACGTTTGTGACCCTTTTCTGCTTCAGACAAATATGGAATTTGATGCAACAAGACTGATTGTGCCATTTGTTTTTCCCAATGGTGATACAGGCCCTGGTGGATCTGCAGCTGAGTACACAAGTCCAAATCAGCATTTTTGAGAGCAGTGAGGAGCTTGGGGAATATGCCACTATGTTCACAAAAGCTGTGGCTGAGGCACCATACAAGTGAGTAAGCAGAGTAAGTTTGGTCCTACCTTTGGAGAGGCTGCACTTTAAGCTACTGGGAAGGAATAGCAGGTACAACACAGGGTATAATGGTTCTTAAAGGTGCAGGTGACACAGCATCTGCTGTTACAGCTCCTTCAACACAGGACTTGTTCATGAAATTGATGTCCTGCTCACAGAGGGATCAGGACAGATGCTGCTTTGGGTTGGAATGGACCTTAAAGATCATCTAATCCAACCCCTTCCATGGGCAGGGACATCTTCCACTACACTGGTTTGCTTAGTGCTCCATCCAGCCTGGCACTGAACACTTACAGGGACGGGGTATCCACAGCTCCTTTGGGTATCTGCAACTCCTTTGAGCAATTAGTTCTGGTGCCTCAGCACCTTCAGGTTTCACACTGGAGCCTTGACATCAAGTAGAGCACTTGTTCTGAGCCAGATTTTTGGAGTGGGAAGGGAATGCAAGTAGGGTTGGCTGTTAGAGTGCCAGCTTTTCTTCTTCAGTGTGTAACGCAGAGACATGCCTGAGAATGAACCACTTGACTCTTTCCATTGATAAGGGAGGACAGCAGCTTGTTGCACAGTGATAGCTAAGAAAGCCATCTTGTGCAGTCTCACGCAATCCTGGCATTCCTATCACAGCAGCTGCTGGATTTCCATGTCAGCCATGACAAGAGATGAGCTGTCATTAAAAATGACATCTAAAAGTGTTTTGTTATGGTTGACAGCCAGAAGGTGAATTCTTGTTTACCACTTTGTCTGCAAGTTGGCTTGTGTCAGGATTGCTGCTGAGTACAGGATTGTTTCTTCTTCAGGAGCAATCTGGGTCTGAAAGAAGTTGGTAGTTCATGTAAAGAAAAGAGGGTCAAATTATTCATGTTTCTTTTGATGCCAGTTGTGTCTCTGACAGCTCAAGTGAGGGATGGCGCTCTGGCTCTGTGACAACAGATGGCAGGGACAGGATTTTCTTCGCAGCCTCATTGTCTCGTTTGCTTCCTCATTCCTTGTTCTCCCTAGGCGAGAGCGAGAGAACACAGGGTTCTCCTTCTACTTGGAGAAGGACTCTTGCAAAGGGGTGAAGGTGGATCCTTCTGGAAAGGGCCTCTTGAAAGTTTGGAAGAGGCAGATACAGCAATTTAACCGTGTCAGCTCTGAGATGGCTGAGGCTATCGTGTCTGCCTACCCTTCTCCTCAGCTTCTGATCCAGGTGAGGATGCCTCAGGGATACCCAGCACTGTGTGCAGGCAGCCAGTTCATGCAGGGGGCAGAAGAAGTAATTTAATCACTACTAAATTAGACAGTGATCCTGCACTGCGGTTCAGTAGGTTAGCGAAGGAACTGATTCCTTGGCATCCATCCAAGGGTGCCAAGGATACTATTCTGCCTTCCCACTGAGGGTGCAGCACTGGCTCCACTCTCCAAGCTCACAGATGGGACTTGGGCAGAGACCAAGAGAAAAACGAGCGGACGCTGCGGAAGGGCAGAGCAGGTACAGGTGCATAGCTTTGACTGGGTTTTTGAGCAACGGGTGCGAGCGGGTGATGCCACTGTTGCTTTTGTGTTGCTTTTAGGCCTATGAGAGGTGCTCCTCGGACCGGGAGCGGGAGGACATGCTGGCCAATATCCCTGTGCACCGTGGGGAGGGGGTGACGGCCACCTCCCGGCGCGTCGGGCCGGAACTGTCCCGACGCATCTATCTGCAGATGACATCCCACGATCCCGACCTCTCTCTGGATTTTACCGGCTAGCACAGGGAAAAAGGGGTTGTACTGTTCGTTCAGTTAAGTGTTCAGGTTTGCATTTCACTGGGTAGCTCCAGGGAATAAGGGTTTTTACCATTTGTTTGGTCAAGTTTTCAGTTTTCTTCTGTGAAGAAGTGCTTAGATAACACTCACTGATCCTTGTTTAAAGACTTGAAAAGCATTTAGACTTTATTGTAGAAGGAAAAAAGTTGGATAAAGTTGCTGAATAGCAAGAATTTACACAAGAAAGATGGTGAGCATCTTCCCTAAGCACATGAGTTGCACACAACTTATAGTACTGATGTTGCTTTGTTTTTCAATAAATAATTCTGAAGAATAACCTTTGCTTCTTAACATGGTGTCATGAATATAGACAGGTATGTCCTCTGTTGAAAGGAATAATTCCTGTTGCTCTCCTGAACTCCAAGGACTTACCTTCTCCCTCCTTTGGGACAAATCCTGAAGCTAGAGCAACATGGTGCTCCCCCCAGCACCTGCTCCAGCGAGGTGAAAGAACTTTACCTCACAAAACAGCCTCTCATGTTCCGCTGCAGCAGATGGGAATGAGTAAGACTAATTTTCAGATAGAAGTTTAGAGTGCTCTGATTCAGTCTCCAGACAGCTTAATCTAGAGAAGGTCTTGAAATCTGATTATATGTGCTGGAATTATGAGGTCTAAACAGTTGGCAGAAAAAGCTTCCTTTTAATTAGATTGGGGACCACAGCCTGTCCGTGCAGCCATCAGCACTTGTGTGCACACAAGGACAGTTGAGGGTTTTTGTAACAGCATTGCTGAGTGCTCAGAGAATTAAACTGCATCCCACGTGTGGAAGTTAACTCTTTGGAACCCTACTGCCTCCAGTGGAAAAATCCCTACCTGCCCTGCTTGTTCCAGGCATCCAGCTGGAGCCCTGACCTGACCAGAAGTGCTGTTGACATGAATCTATAAATGTGTAAGCCCATGCTCGCCAACCTATGCAACACTCATCTGGATGTTGGCAGGAAGGGCTGCATGGAAGAAACATTGCTTTAGATGCTGTTTGTAATTTTCATGAACATTTCTGGATAGAGAGTAAGGACATTTTAAAGAATGGGATGAGCTTTACACCCAAAGCAGAGCTTAAAGGTGTTTGAGGGAAGCTTTGAAAACATGCACCGGACTAAGGCAGAGGCAGCCCTTCCTTCCTTTAATCTGATACTTGTGCTGCTGATCTCCTGTGTGATATTCAGGGAACCACAATCTTATCATCAGCTTACAGAAAAATGAAGGTTTACTGCTGTGATGGTTTCCCCATAGCACTGCTCCTGGCAGCAATAATCCCAGGTGTGACAAGAGGGAAGATTCTGGAGACCAGTGTAGAATGTCTCAGTGGAGTCTGCAGCACAGATATTCTCTGAAACTTGCACTTCATTTTAAGTACTCACAAAGCCCTTAAGGGTATGAAAAAATTCTGCTTGATGGGAGTTAAAGAAATTTTAAAATGAATTATTTTAAATAATTTTAAAGGAAATTCTAAATAAATCACAGACCATTGCAGAGGTGAGTTTTCCTCTTGAGTGCAAACCACCAAAGCTCCCAGCCTTTCCCCAGCCCCGAGACGTCCCCTTTCCTGCCAGCAGTGCTCCCACAGTGCCACCCAGTGCTGCTTCTGCAGCAGGCAGGAATATTCCCACGTACTTGGAAATCATTTGTGGCTGTTCCTAAAAGGCCTAATTAAAATGAAAGCTATGTTAACAACATAAACATCCAGTTCAGACAAATTGCTGTGAAAACTGTTGTATTGAAAATTTTCAGCTTCTTTCAATAGCACATCAGCCTCTTTGCTCCAACATAGGGATGCACAGCCATCCTACATGCCTGTAATTGGTCCTGGAGTGGGGCCTTAGTGTATTATTCCCATACAGCCATACCACCAGTTTTAGCACAAACAGAAAAGAGAGCAAGGAACGGATATGTATGAAAAACCTTCCACCTCTAGCTCAGAGCTACAGCTGTCTGACCCAGATGATGTGAGGGCTGCTTGTTCCCTTTCCTATAGACTGTCAGCTTCCTGTACCTCACAATCCTGGTGGACACAACTTGGAGGCAAGGAGTGGTAACAAGTTTAGGTTAACGTGCACAATTAATGGGAGTTACAGGCCGACTGAGAGACATGCACAACAAAGATAGTTTGAACAACAGCTCTGCTCTGTGGAGTGGACCAGCAAACCAACGCTGACTGGTTCAAAGCAGTTTCATCAGAACACAATTCCATAGGAATTCTGGCTGCGTAGATGGCGGAAGGAGATGCTGACGAAGCGAGTGCCCATCCAGGACAATCACTGGTGCGAGTTGTGCTGTAGCATGTTCTGCAGGGTTTTGTGGTTCTGCAGAGCAGCCACCACATCCTCGTAGAGGGTGTTCACGCTGACGCAGAGGGGTTGATGCTGCAGCTCTGTCAGCTTGCAGGCAGCCAGAGTACAGAGGATGCAGAACAGCACAAAGAGCAGGACCCTCAGCACTGACCGCGACCACGAGGGCTTGTGCCGGGGAGGCTGAGGGGGACGGGAGCTGGAGGCTGGCTCTGCAGTGAGAACGGGAATAGGACAGGATGTGAGGAATTATCAACTCTAACAGGCTGTGCTCACAAACAAACTGTTCAGGTAAAATACTTAATCCTCTGCTGCAGTTGGCTTTTGGTGTGAATTAACATCACTTAGCTCTGATAAATAAGTAGATGTGCAGGATGTAACTGCTTAGGAAAAGTCTCAGGTCCAGTTTCACAGGCAGCAGTGCAGAGGGTGTAAAACACCTCTGTGTTGCACAAGGTCTGATTATGCAAATGTAGCCCAATAGACTTAAGTAAAAAATGAGTGGAGGGAAGTTCTCATTAGGAACAGCTGGAGAACTTCCTGACTTTCTCCACAGTTCATGGGAACACAGGAAAAGGGGAAAAGGGCACAGCAGCAGAGTTTATCAGAACTTCTATAAGTTCCATCCTACCCTCTCCCAGCGTCTCCCAGTCTCCCAGTACCTGGGCTGCATGAAAGCAATTCTGGCAGCATCACAGTCTGATGACAATGAAACCTGACACAATCCCACCCAAAATGGACACTACTTACTTCGGGTGTGCACTGTTTCCTTTTTAGTTTTCTTTTCCATCTCCTGTTTTGCAGCTTTCTGAGCATCGTACTCCCGCCTTCTGCGCTCCTTTTCCTCTGCCTTCTCTCGCTTCCGCAGTTCTCTCTCCAGAGCCTCCTTTGCTCGCTGTTCTGCTTCACGCTTCTTCTCCATTTCTGGGGGTTAACAGCAAGTTTTTCCCTTTTATGTAAAGGGTTGTCACTGCCATTTTCCTTATTACCTTATTATCCCAACTGGAATGAGGAAACCAATTAAACAACTATCCTCTTTTTATAATTTTATTTAGCATTACATACCTTGCACTTTGCTGTGCTTTTCTTTCATGTTTTATAGGTAACCTCTAGCACATTCCATCTAGAGATTTAACTATTCCTCAGGCCAAGAAATCACACACACTACACCCCTGCTATACTTCTCCCTCCAGCCCTTTTACCCTACTATTCCCCGAGTACTTTGGGTTTGGGTGGCTAAAAGTATGTGTTAGATGGCAATTTGTTAGATGGCAATCAGAATGTTTGGGTGTGTTAGACAAGCCAAGAGCAGTCCTCAGCAGACAGCACGTGGGGGCTCCTTGTCCCTACCTCTCTCTGCCTGGAGTTTCCGCTGCCGTTGTCGATCTTGCTCAGACTGGATCGCTTTCATGTGCTGCAGTACCTTAAATAGCCAAGAAAACAACCTGAGAGCTGTGCAGAAGCCTAGTGGCACGGTCAGTTCAGAACAGAACAGATGGAGTGTGGCTGAGGACAGGCAGCTGGGGCTGACCCTCAACCCTCACCTATCGCTACAGCTACGGCTCTGAAAAGAACTCACAACTTATGTGAGTCTCTGTTGTAAAAAACCAAATCTTCCCATTAAAAACAAACACGGCAAACTGGTGCTCAGTGATACAGAGGATCACAGAACATTTCTATTTATGTTTGCCAGAACTTCTCCAGAGGTTTTTGTACTATCAGCACAGGCATGGATTACTATGTCTGATTATGCCTCCACTTTCTTGGCAACCAGCATTTAATCCTCTCTTAACTCCACGAATGGAGAAGCATCCTCCTCAGCCAGGTGTTTGCTCTCCACAGGCAACACAGTAGGGGAGTCAGTGCAGTGGACCTGCACCTCACTCCTTGAAGAAACTTCAAGCTCCTGCAGCAGCTGCCCAGCTTGCTAAGCAAGCAGAGGAAGAATCACTGGCAAAGCCATGAAAGGAAAAAAAAAAATAGAATAAAACCAGACTCCTTACCTTGACAGCAGCCTGCTTACACTGCTTCTCATCCAGACAATCTCCTGCCACTTTAGCCAGGACAGGATCCAGGGGATTGTCCTTCAGATCCAGCCACTTCAGGTTCTGCAAAAAGGCACAACAAAGGGGAGGCTGTAATTATTTGGAAGTCTTGGAATTATTTAAGAGAGCCAAAGCAGAAGCAAAGAAGTGCTTAGTTTTCACATTAATGAAACAGATACAGAAGATGAGCAGCGATGTTTTCAATACACTGAGAGGATTTTCACTGAGCTGCAGTGCAGACCCAGCTGAATTTTGGAATGGGTAGTCAGCAGGATGGATGCTTTACCAGAGAAATCAACTTGAGCAGGATCACAAGACCCTGGGCTGCATCCCAAAGCTTTACGTAACTGCCCAGCAAACAGTTTTACCTTGAGCTGTGCAAAGCTGACTGGCAGGGTGACCAAGCGGTTGTTCAGAAGGTCCAGGTGCTGCAGATTGACCAGGCGGCCAAAGTCCAAGGGCAGCTGTTGCAACCGATTTTTACTCAAATCCAGTTTCACCAGATGCATCAAACTGCAGAAGTCTGACTAAAACCCAAGCAAAGAAAACCCAGAGAAAGCTGGTCATTACTTTTATGGAACAACCTCAGTGGGAAGTAAGTGGAGACAGCCTGCAACTCACACCAGGCACAAATCCTTGACTTACTACAGGACTGTGATGGAGGAAAATCACTCTCCTCCTTCGCCTTGGAAGATGGAGGTGAGACACAGTGGGACAGATATGACAGACTGAGAAGGTTATGGATGACAATATGAGAGGAACAAACCCAAGTCTCCACTGCTGATGAAACTCCTCTGTATTCACCTGGGGATGCTCTGGAAGGAATGTACTGCAATCTTCACACAGTTCAACCCTGTACTCTCTCCTGCCTCAGCCAAATCCACTGCCAGCACTGACCTGTCACTGAAAACTGAGTCATTCAGCCACCCCAGGGCAGAGAAAGTGCCAGTTCCACAGTGCCTGGTGAGCCTCTACGGAAGCACCATCTATCTTTCCAAATATTGCCCAGCAGACTCATCCCCACGGAGGCTCTCTAGCACCTTACCGGCAAGGAAATGAGGTTGTTACAGGACAAATCCAACACAGTAGCTTTCGGAAGAGCGGCCTGAAAAACAAATAAGGCACTGAATGACCATAGAGGTTCACCCGATCCCCTCTGACACCTGTTCTGCCTCGGCCTCTGCGGTTTCTCCCGCGTCAGTCCGTCCATCCCCCGCGGCTGCTCCGAGGTCACGTCATCTCCGGATCCATCTCTGTGTTCGAAAAGGTTCTTATTCCCAGGACAGCAGGGACTAGCGGCTGCCGGGCCCGCGGGACACAGAACCACGCTGCTTTAAATACCTGCAGGCCGGGTCACAAGCCCCCAGCACATCCGGCTCCCCTACGCTGCCCCTTCCCGGGAGCCGGTCCCCACTCCTGCCGGGGAGCCTACGGCCGGAGACTCACCAACTCCCGCACCGGCACCTCATTCAGGTCGCAGAGGCTCAGGTCCAGCTCGTTCCCGTCCAGCTTGTCCTTCAGGCTGAGCCCCTTCCCGCTGCCCCGCGACATGGCTCCGCCGGCGGCTGCCCACGGGGGATGCGGCTCGGCACGGGGAGGCCCCCGCCACCCACTTCCGCGGCCACGTCCGCGCGGGCCCCGCCAGCCCCGCCGCGGGGCCGAGCGCGCCCGCTGCCGGCCCGGAGCGGGGCCGCAAAACGCCGAGCGATCGTCTTAAGAAAGGATGGCATCTGTTTGATCTCTGCGTGCTTCCAAACCTCAGCAAAAAGAAAGGAGATTTAACCCCCCAAGCAGACAGCAGCTAATAAGCTCTAAGCGCTGTCTTGTTGGTCGAATTGTCTTGATCCGATGATCTCAGACTTAATGGGAGGTTAACAAAGCTTGGGAAGAAGGATGTGCTACTGATAGCAGGAGCAAGGAATGCAGGATTTATGGGCTACAAGGACATTATGCAGAATCGCCAAGATAAGGAAGAAACCAATAATGCTAACTCAGCAGTTGGGTTGTATCAGCTCCAAGCAGGTAAAAGGTAGTTCTGTCAGGGGCAGATTGTGACCACCTACTCATGGCCACAGACCCAAGAAACCCACCAACCCAAAAGAAGAGAAAGACCAAGACTGTGGACTAATTAGCATGGGAAGTGAAAGAATCATTAAGCAATGGAAGACAGAATACTAATTGATATGAGAACTAGGTAACTAGTAGCCAATGAACATTAATGCCTTTTGTTTGCTGAAATATATAGTCAAAAGTTTTGACCATTGTCATGTTGGCTTTGTGGATTTGCAATCCAGTGCAGAACTATAAATAAATAAAATACCTCAGCTCTGTGTGTGGGTTGGCCTCTTGCACACTGGGTGAGAGAGCCTGTTTTGGGACACACTGGCACAGATCAGGGCGTTCTTGTAGCTGTCCCACCAGCCCTGGAACCCTGGCCAGGTTGGCAGGAGTTTAGATCTGGGCTACATGAAACAGCCCTGCAGAAGGCAGGAGAGCTCCCAGCCAAGAGCCATGAGCAGGGGAGGTTTTGCATCCAGTCACCTCACCTGACACACAGCACCACACAGAGACCCAACCGGTTTATTGCCAATAATCCCAACAGAAACCCAGGGATGTATACCTTGTTTTGCAATATTGGATACAGCTGCTTCTATCTGTCCACAGTCTCCCTAATGCAGGGGGTGAATTCCCTCTCATTTGGGCTGTTACAGTACCCCACAATGTCTCTTCACAGGAGGAACACTTGATGGATATTCCTGCTTTGCTCCCAAGGCTCCAGTCCCACAGGAGCAGAGCACTCTCCTCTGTGGAGAAAGTCAGTGAAAGAGAAAGGAGCCTGGGGTACAGCCAAATTAGTGTTACCTGGTACTGGGATTACAGCAAGGACTAACCATGAATTTCCTGACCTCTGTGCTATTTGTGATGTTTGGGACATTGCAAAGATGTTTTCACTACTGCAGCACATCTACCCTCTGGATGCATTGGTTCATTTTTAAGCTGCCAGTGAATTTCTTCCAACACCCAGAAACTAGCATTAGCTCGGTACTGAGGTAACTGAGGCCACAGGATCCTCTGAACAAAGGCAGCCCAAAGCAGCACACAAGGTTTTGCCTCATAGAAACTACAGCAAAGTCTGCCTGAGGTTGAGGTGCTCCTGTCCAGGAGATTATGGAAGTTTTTCAGAGCATTTTATTGTTCTTCCAAATGTGAGCAGAAATTACAGAGCCCTCGTCTGAGAGGAGTGAGGTCTACTTATCCAAGAATCTCCCCGCATACCTCAGTTTTTCACAACAATGTTTGTTGTTGGAAGGAAGGGCCAGGGAAGACCTGGTCCAAGGAGTGGTGGGGAAGCCAGATCTGCGAGGCAGGCAGCTGATTACTGATCCACTGGTTACCCTGAGCCAGGGAGGGTTTTGTGGGCTGTGATGTGATGTGATGTGCTGTTCCCTTCCATGGCTGGGAGGCACCAAATACAGTCCTGCTGTGGAGAACAAAACCCAGAGGGGCTCTGAGGGGGCCTGAGCAAGACTCTCTGTATATCTGGGAAAGGTCTTCGTCAGTGCAATGCTACAGAGACTGAAATCTGTGTTTCCACAAATGCAAGAGCAATTGGCTCCTGGCAAAACCAAACAAGGGTGTAGATGGGTTACAAAACCTACCTACTTATTTGTGATTAAAATCTGTTGATTTTAAAATCTTGATTAGAAATGAACGGTACTTTATGCAATGGTGTATGAAATGTTACTTCTTCAGGGATTCTTTGCTTTGATCTCTAGCCAAAACCACTACAATCTCAAACAAACATACCCAAATACTAAGGTCACATTAATTTCTGCGTAATTCTTCGTTTAATTATTTCTTTAACCAGGATTCACCCTCTGCGCTAATGATCATAATGTGGGAAGATCAATCCAAAAGTCTTCTTTATTTTTATTTATTACAGGTTTGCATAAATTTTTTTTCCTCTGTGGTTATACAATACCGAGAGCTCTGATGCTCCATCAGCACAAAGACAGTTGCTCTGCTTTGGCCAAAAGGTGGAAGGACAACTTCTGAGCACAGATGTCACACAGCTTTTCATCCCCTGTGGGAATCCAGAAACTCACCTCGCTGCTGAGTTCTGTGGGACTGACTGGAAGAGGTATCCGTGCATGTAGGCTGGAAAGACTTTGAAGCTCCACAAGACAAAGACAAAGCATAGCACAAGGCACATCTGTGCACTCTGCTAGGGGTTGCAAGAACATTAATAAGGAGAAGGGAGCAGGAAATGCTGAGGGAAGTGGGATGAACACAGTCGATCTAATTGTGATCCAACGATCCTTACTGGGCCTGAGCTGACCATGCCAGCCTGTGGTTGAAGACCATTCCCAGACTCTTGGAAGTTCTCTGTGACCCCTCTGCAGCCAAGGCAAATTTTTCACATTTCAAGGGAAAAAAGTCTCCCTTTCCCTAGCAAAGAAGACATTGTCACTGCTGCCACCAAACGAATTCCTTGTGAACTAGATGCACATTGAGGAAAATCCTTCATTTCTAAAAGCAAGTGTCAGACACTAGAGATCTCATGGCAGTTGATATTTCACTCTGTTACAAGCACATTTTTGGCTTTGATGTCTGAGATTCACCATTCTGAGGCTGATATTTATACTCTTGTTTGTCAGCACCATTGTGCTTGATGTGATACAGATAGACTGTGTCACATCTTCAACATCAGTGCTGCTGCAGAGCTCAACTCCTTACCTGGTGCCTGCCCATACCTCTGCACTTAGGTGAAGGGATCTCAGCCTGCCCAGCCCTGGAGCAGCTCTGCAGTTCCTAGCTGGTCTCTTCTCCTCCACAGGGAGTGCCTAAAGGTGTCAGTGGGGTGCTAACTGGTAATTCATTGAGAGGATAGGGCTGGAGGCCAGCTGGGGACTCACAGGGCCAGGGCACCAAGTGATACAAGTGAAGACAGCTGGAGGCAAACGATAGTGATTGTCTTGCACCAAAGTCCATCTCTACTCGTTTGAGTGGAGGGGGCTTATTCGGGCTGTACCAGTGCTTGGGTCAGGCTGACGGAACAGGCTGGGATGAAGAGAGATAATGGACTGGAAATGTACAGGGAAGAAATTGTGGCGGACAGCTTGGGCTGGGGACCGGCAGTGGACGGGGCAGGTGCCCGGCAGGACTCCGGGGGCTCCGTCCGAGCCTGCAGTCCCTCTGGCGGACCGGGCAGAGCGGACAGCTTCCCCGCTTCCCTTCCCGCCGTGCCGCCTTCCGCCGGAGAACGCTCCGGCGTCCCGGGGCGGAGCGGGGCCGGGGCGGGCCCGGAGCGCCGCGCCCCCGAGCGCCGAGCGGCGGAACGGGACAGAACGGGACGGCACGGGGCAGAACGGGACAGAACGGGTCCCGCTAGCGCTGCAGGAATGGCCACGGCCCGCCTGGCAGCCCTGCCCCGGCACGGGCTGCAGCTCCTGCGGCGGGGAGCCCCGCCGGGCAGGTAGGGGCGGGCTGGGCAGGTGCTGTGGGGGTGCAGGGCGGTGGGACCGTGGGGGCGGGCAGCTGTAGGGGATAGGAATTAAAGGGGAAAGTGGGTGTGGGTGAGAAGGTGTGGGGGCTATAGGGGGTAGGGGGGCTGTGGATGAGAAGGTGTGGGGGCTGTAGGGGGCAGAGGGCTCTGGGGTTGGGGGACCTGTAGGGCACAAGGCTGCAGAGGATGGCGACCATGTGTGATGGGGGACAGGGACTAACTCTAGGGCAGCTGCAGTGTGCTGTGCAGTGGCTGCATGCAGGGAGGGCATATTCATCTCAATGTGTAACTCTTGGCTCCCCTAAAACCCCTCCAAAGTGGCAGAAGGCAGGCTATATCCCCTGGATCTGCTTTGCCCCAGCCTGTGAGTGGGCCAGGGGCAGGGATGAGCCCTGGACAGCGGGCAAAGGGAAGTGAAGGCATGGCAGGGCTGAACTTTGTGCAGCAGCTCCATCTAGATTGCAGCAATGTGAAATGTATCAAATGGCTTCCCCAGGCTCCTGCAGGGCTCTGACTTGCAGGCAGTGTCCCTGTCCCCAGGGAGCTGGGTGACCCGGCAGGTCCGGGACACCAAGAAGCTCTGGGGCTTGGGTGGTCAGGCCAGTTCTTTGCCTTGCTCTTCTTCAGTGCTGCCTCTTGGAGCAAGTTCCTGTAAAGAAACAGCAATGGGAAGTATCTGGCTTTGGGAAAGGCTCTGAAGGATTAGCTGATATTCAGAGTAATAATCACCAGGATGAATGACTTCCAGTGAGCAATTCCAAGAACCAGGTGGGCCATTCCGTGTTTTTCACAGACAGGGTTTAGGTGGGATTTTTCAGCTGGTTTGACATTAGGAGTGAAGTGTTGAAGCCACTTCATCATAGGTGTGTGAAGATTGCCTTCTCAGAACCTGTTCTTAGGATCAGAAAGGAAGCATGATAGCATTCACTGCAGCTTACTCCAGCCCAGAACTGAAACTGAGCATAAGAACACAAAGCCCTTGGAGAGAGAGAACATGTGTTTAGAGAGTATACTCTTTCTAGTAATGTTATAAAAAAAGTTTAAAAATTTTTTAAATTTAAACTTTGAATTTTTTAAATTTAAACTTT